TGTAGTGCATAAAGTTCAGCACACGCTGAAATCACCTCTTGAAATCAGTGCTATTCACAACTTGGTAACATTTGTGATAACCACTTCTGTCAAGGACTATACTTATTTCTCCTTTTGTTTAGAGAAAAGTACTAATTAGAAAGGGCTCAGTTTCATGTAGAATGAATTTTGTTTATCTGCTAACTGCTTTCTTCTGAAATCACTTATCTTTCCTTCACGTTATTTGCAGTGGTGTCTCACTGATGTAAACCAGTTGTTCTTTAACTTCTGGAGCAAAACATTTTCTCAGCAACTGTCACTTGGCTTGATACAGATCTGGGAGCCCTGATATGAAGGGATGATCCAATCTTTATAGCGGTGTTTGCAGAGCAGAGCTCTTTTTAAGTTTGAACCTTTGTACTTCTCTGCGGACTAGATGTTGCAGGAAACCCTAGTAATGCTGCTTTTTTTCTGTTTATTTTCTGACAGATGATTCAAGAGAGCAGGGTTCTCATTGAGACGGCAGACATCACTCACGACAAGATTGTTCAGTGCCAGAAAGCAGGTAATACTTCTTTATTGTGCGGTTCTGGGTGGGAGATGGGAAATGATGTGCCATAATTTACTTACAGTTTGTGACTGACTCATGCAATCATCTTTCACCTGGTATAGACGTGAGCAACCTGGTCTTCCCCTGACAGACTCCACCTTCCTGAAGGCTCATCCCTCAGTAGCAATGCAGGCGTGGGATCAGGGAAAAATCCTCAGCTTTCACCTTACAAGCTATTTCTCCATCTGCTCTACAGCTCTGAAATGTCTGACAGCATTTAAATTAGTCAAATGAGCTAGAAAGGCATTCAATTAAAACGAAGGAGTGAGAAGGCATGCTGCCTTTACTGAGCTCCGTTCTCTACCACAATTCATTCCCTTAAACACAAAGGAGGCAAGAGGTTTTGAAAGCAACAGGACCAAGCTCTGTTGCCTGCCTTTACTTACTTTTGCTGTTTAGATTTGTTTTAGACCTTGGAAACTTTTGCCGGTGTAATTCCATTGTATCACGGTGAATCTGTGTGGCTATGCATTATGTACGTCAGGTATATGGGTGCAAACCACTGTAAGTAGGCTTAAAGTAGATCATACGTTGCTGGTGTATTGTACTGGATGTCTTTATCTGAACTAGGGCTCTGCCTCGTGTGCAGCAGTAGAAAGGGAAGAGGTGGTTTCAGAAGCGGCAACCCGCCTGCTGTCTGCTCTGCCGCAGGTTCACACTCCTTTTTCAGGGTGGTAGAAATCACCAAAGTGATTCACAGTTCAGCTTATTCATGCAAACCCCTCTTCACCACTTGTTCAGGATTGGGGGCTAGACTTGGAACGGGGACGTGTCTCCTGCAGTCCCCACTGATACACGAGAATAAGCCCTGCTAGAGAGATAAGAGTCCACGTTTGGTGGTGGTAATCCTCTACAACTAAATCCAGCAGCTTTCGCGTATCAGAAACCATGCTGAATAAATACATGCAGTGTATTTCTATCAGGGGTTTACACTGCAGAAATTAAATCTCTTTTCAGTTTGTTTAGTTATACAGCTGCACCTTTCCTAACCTGTAGCAAGCCGCGAAGGTCAGTAATGCAAACACTTGCTACTACATTTAATTTGTGTTCTTGGGCATAGTCTTCTGGGACCACAACAATTATAAATACTATTGTTTCTGATAGGCATTTTTGGATTTGGCAAGTGATGCAGGCTGCTGCCATTTGCTTCTATTAAATGTAAATAATGAATGAAACTGATGTTTTGTAGTAAATCCTTTCATTCATCTTTTTAATTAGAGGAATTTTGGAAACTGTTTCAACAATAGCATTTAACTGATTTCTATGTGATGCAAGAGCAGGGTGGAACGTAGTGCTTGCTCTTCGAAATTCAGAGCTCGAGCCATGCTGGCGCTGTGGCAGCAAAGGGATGAGAGGCAAGCAGCTATGTCTTGCTGGATTCTATGGGCCTCATCTTGTGTCATGCCTTGGCTTCTGTGTATCTGCATATAAGTGGCATAAATATCTTCTACCCAAAGCCTTCATCAGGTGTAGAGGGTTTAGGAATGGGACAGTGAGAGGAAAATGCAGCACTGGGGGGTCTTTCTTGATGGTACAATTCAAGAGCAATGCTTTGCACTAAGTTATGCAGACCCTCAGCAGTGTCAGCCAGCTTCCTACGCGCTCTGCACTGTGCGCAGAGGGAAGAACCCATGAGCTTGTCTGGGTGTCTTTGTGAGCAGAGGGGTGGAGACGCATGTAGAGAACACGATGCAGGACCATGCCTCCACACTGATGCCCAGAGTTTCATGCACTTCCCCTCTCCTTCTTTCCCCCAGCAAAAAGATGAATTTCTCAAGTTTGTTCTCTTTGCTGCTGTATCTACTTGTATTGTCATTTGTTTTGCTTGGTTAGCCTTAAAATATCATTTCTGATTGCGAAGAAGGCTGGAGAGGTATGAAGTGCACTTCTGAAGCCTCAGGATTTAGACAGAGGAAAGGAGTAGGGGAGACAGGATCCCTCACCACGCTCAATTGCTTCATTGCAAACGCTACCCAGGCAAATTGTTAAATAACATTTTCAGTGTGGCGAGGTGAAGCACTCAAAATTAAGAGGTGTCAGAGGTACAACTGCCTGTGACATTGTCATTCACCTCACCCCAGTCCTGTTCCCTTTGAACATGTGTTCCCACCAGACCTCTGCTTCACATCGTAGCATGTTTTGGTCCAGGCTCCCTGTGCCACAGTGTCCTGCCTGCTCCCCCAGATGGCTTCTTATCTGGTTTTGCTGGTTCTGTTGGTTTTTTTTCATGTGCAGTCTCAGCCCAATGTGCAGTGGTCAGCAGCAGCTTGGAGGACTGAACTGCTAAATGTTTTCGTTGATGCTCCTACCTGCAGCCTAACAAATGTTTGTGGCTCCCTCTCTCCTGGGCAGCACTGTCTTCAGGTTACAGGTGGGGAAAGTGAGATCCGGGGGGAAAAATAGCTAAAAGGGTGCTGCATAAAGGCAGGGCTGTCCACGTGGAGCTGTGCACCATTAGCCTTCATGTTTTTTTGTGGGACAAAGTGAGTCATTTGAAGGTTTTCTTTCACGTACTGCAGTGAAATGATTTGTAAGTCAGTTGGCACGAGGCACACCTGCAGGGGAATCTTGCTTGGGGTGCAGTTATTTAGACTGCTTTCCAAAGGAAATGCTGCAGGAGCTCTGTTACCCTTGACAGGCAAAACCTGTGAGTGGGAGAAGTTTTGGAACATAAACCATAAAGTCTTGCATTGTGTGGAGTTGAACTGCCTCAGTGTTATCGAGCTCCTGGAGTCGGTGCAAGGCAAGAAGAATCCTATTGTTAGTCTTCCAGGAATGCTTCAGGCAAGCTGCGCCGAGTGCAAGCCTGCCTTGGGCTGTCGAAGGACTGACTCCTTCAGCAACTCGCTAGACAGCCCTCCACGTCTCCTCCGTGCAGGTGTTCTCTCAATGGGAATTTCTTTGATGTAATTTCAATGACACTTGGATTTGCGAGTGACATTTGCCTTAAAACCTTAGGGGAGGGAGAGCTGTGAAACAACTGGAGATGGAACTTGGTTTGTTGAGCCAGGATGGGCTTCAGACATTTTGGAGTGATTTAGTGCCAATTTGGCCTTTGTAAGGTACAAATTAAGGGAACACAAGCAGCTCTCTCTCCATTTTGTCTTTTAATCCACACCAGACCCAGAGAAATGTTTGCATACACTGTGCAAAGCCTGTGGAATTGGTGGGCTAATTGGACTCGTTAAGGCTTTTAATCTGCTCCCAGATTTCCTGAATTCTTGTATCCAGCAACAGATTTGCAGACATTTGCCACAGAAACTGGCAATGCAATGTAACAATTCCCAGGGCTGCGGCTGGAAGTCTCAGTTCCCCAGGCTGCAGGAATAGCAATCCTGTGATTAGCGGTACGCGTTTCTGACATAATTTATCATTGTGAAGTACAAGGGCTTTTCTGCATGACTGTGATTAAGATTAATGAGGAGCTGTGCATTTGAGTCTGTATTTGCTGTGCTGAACAGGTATCTTCCACGTCTGTCAGACTGCCTTCCAAGGTACAAAACCAGAAAGTGACAAGCGATTGCCTTTTGTCGCAATATTGCCAGCAATGCAGACTGCAAGCAGAAGCACTGGAGGAGTGTTTGGGGGGGGACCAGGTGCATGCCTGTGTGGAACCCCGAGCACTGGAGAGTTAGGCACAACTGCAGGATTGCACGTGACCCTTTTCTCCTGGAAGATGCTCTCCAGGATGGGGTTATAACGGGGAAGGGGGAGAAACACAGAAAGTGGTTGTAGCAAGTACCAGCTGCGAGACTGAAAATGCTCACTGAACATTTTGTAGGGGAAATCGATTGTGCACTGGGTGATGTAGCAATCTGTATTTTTAGGAATGGAATTCCATGAAGAGCTTCATAACCTTGGGACAAAGGAAGGTTTGAAAGGAAGAAAACTAAGCAAAGCCATTGAGAGTTTTGCATGGAATATCACAGTGCTGAAGGTAAGCACAGGAAACACCACCTTGTGTCTCCTATTAACTCTGTAAGCAAACCTTTGCTCTTTTAGTTCATCTATTTGTACTGTCTCACTAATGCTGAAGCAACATTTTGTTTTAATGGGATGTATAAATTACCCCCAATTACTGAGATTCATCAAGTATATCTAATTACACCTCTGGCTTGGAAGCTGTGGAAGGGAATTTAGCTAAGCCTGAACAAAAAAAGGAATGATAGCTTGTGGTTTGTATGCCCAGGGGCCTGGTTTTGGTTGGTTGTTCTGCCCTACACACCCTGAATGTGACCTGTCCGGGGTCACTGTGGCTCAGACACTTGTTTTGTAAAATGAGGACTAGAGCATCTCTTTGGGAAGGGATGGAACTGGGGGGAGTGTCATGAAAAAATCCATGAGGAATATTGTAGATCCTGCAGAAATGTCAGGATTAGGTTTCAAAAGTGGAACATTATCCAAACAGCTAAAAAAGGGAGGGATGAAAATCCCTCCATCCTGGCTGCACAGTGACACGCTGCTCAGTGACCATGTTACTCACCAGGCTTTAGCTACTGGTTTGTCGCCGACCGGCCCCAAATTGCCACAGCAGCTGGATGTCTGAGCCTGGGTGAAGTTACCCAGGTACAGCCAAAGTTGGAAAGAGGAGAGGCTCTGATGCAGCCATAGCAGACGGCAGTGAGAGGGCCTGAGCCAAGCATTTGGATTGTTAGCATTCAGCTCATGCCGCCTTTTACAGGCTCGTTTCCCACCTTGCTCTGGTAGATCACACTTTGATTTCCCCTCCTTCGCTCCCTGCTGCTCACTCCCTCCAGCTCCCGTGAAGCAAATTGCCTTGTCCGACAGCATCTCCCTGGAACCTCCCCAGTGCCTGTCTCTTTGCTGGCGTCCCAGGGTGAGCCAGCTGATGACAGGGAATTTTTACAAAGTTCCTCATGAAATATACACCTAAATGTAACGTGCAACAGCAGTAGCAAGAGTAGTAGGAGATGCATGCTTCAGTGTCGGGGAGACGGACAGAACGCTAACACATCCTGAGCAGGAGAGGGAAAAAGGAGTTGGGAACGAAGAGGCTGAGGGGCAAAAATTGGTGGGAGAGGCTCTTGCTGGTAGAGAAGGGTTAGAGAAGACCTGGGGGATGCCTGTGGTTCCCTGCGTACCTTGATTCACCATGACAGTGGGGGGAAAGTGAGTACTGGAGTCAATGTAGGCTCAGTTAATAGGACCTCTAATGAAGAGAAAAGGCAACCAATTCAAACGTGATGGAAGGGACTGACCTTTTCCACACAGCATAATTGAGGCAAGTAGCTAAAGAGGACAGAAAACCCCCCAAACACTAGGCAGTTCTGAATATTAATCTGAATACCTTTAGCTGTGTTAGGTGAAATAAATGCTTCGTGCTCAGAGTCACTCCAAACATGGTCAGGGTTACTCTAAACTTTTCCATTTTTAGATGTTTGTCAAATGAGAAATTCAGACCTCTGAGGGTGACCTATGATTAATGAAGGTACAAGCAGGGTATCAGAGAAACATTTCCTATGAAAAATAATTGCTGCCTAGCACATACCGTCAACATACTAAAAGCATTTCAGACATCTAGTCAAGGTCAAGGAATAATTGACATGTTTCATTTCTAAGTCACAACTTCATTTTTACCTTTTTCACATAGTAAAACATGATCAGAGTTTGTGGCAACTACCCATGGGTATAAATGCACATGAAATACCTTTTCATTCTGACAGACGTCCAACTCAGCAATGACATAGACAATTAGGAATGCGGTTGTCAGACCTCAGGTGTCTGATATGAGACTGTCAGTCATCGTTCTTCTTTCTAAACTTGTTTTTTCCTTAAATAATACTGTATTTCAGTGTCCCTGCCGATAACAAACCTATTTGCTAGTTACAGCTGCATCTCGTGTTTGGCACTAACTCCCCTCCCTGCTGGTGAGAGCTTCCCAGGAGGATTTGGTGAGGAGAGACCAACAGCAATGCCCCACTCAAGCCATCACTGTCTTCCATATGCCTAGTGTCAGGGTGGTCACTACAAATATATTTCACTAGATGTTGGTATAGTGATGTAAGAAAAGAAAAAAAAGTAGCCCGTAACACCTCGCAAATGCATCATCACTAGGTGAGGTGAGTGAACGGCACACCACCAATGGGAGAAGGCCCCTTTGTGTGCCCGGGGTTGTTGGAGGCAATTACATCATGCGGCAGTAGTCAGTTTGTGTGAGGTGCCCATGAGCAATAGCAAGTATTAGGTTGTGCTCGTGCCTGCCAGGTGATTAATAGTCTTTTCCTAGGCTAGTGAAGCAAAGGCATACTTAATTAATGTATTTCTTTATAAAGGCTCATTGCAATAGGTGAGCTTTGAATATAAGGAGGGGGTGCAATAAGAAATTGCTACTAGCAAAATCATTAAATAGTTACAGAGTGCAAGATTAAAGTATATTTTATAAAAATCATAACTGTGGGCATTATTCATGTTTAGAAATGCCCTGAGGTACTTTTAAGAGGTACCTAACGAGAATGAATCAAAATAATATGTCATTTTCTTCCATAGTTTATATAAACTTAATTACATTTTAGTAACAACCACTAGAAGAACAAACTGTTTGCCAGAACATATAAATGTAAGTAAGAATAGGGACATTATAACTTGGTGACAGTCAACTTTGACCTATATACATATTTTTTAAATGTCACATCTACTTATTTGGTCCCATGTTATGTAAAATACTGTCAGGCTTGCAGTCAGCAATATTGGGAGGCACAATGTCAATACAGAAATGTCAAGACAGAAAAATCACGTTCTCACAGCGATGTTACAGGAATGGTTATGATCCCAAATTTAGCCTCACTTTCATTTTTATTTCCATGCGCCACGGTCTCTGTTTTCCTTTCTGTATTTTATTAAGTGCCAGTAAAATGCAAAAGTAGCACAAGAAATTTTGTGTTTACCACCTCAACAGGGACCATGGCACTAGGGACCGTTTGTTTCATCCCAACGAGTACGCTTGGCTCGGCCAACCCTCTCTCGCACCAAAAGTTCACAATTAATTTTCATGAGATATTTGTCCAGTTTTAAAATAGGTGACTATCCATTTCACAGAGCGAAGGGGTTCATGTGGGTGTGTGGGCTGGTGCGTGTTTCTCCCCAGATGCTGGTGTTCCTCCTGCTTTCCCCTGGCCTGGAGGTCACCTCTTCCCTGGCACGTGTGGCCGCCTTTGCAGGCAGGAGTGAGCTTGGAGAGAGGGGGGCACCGGGCTGCGTAAGGCAGCAGCTGAGCAGCCTCGTCAGGGCAGTTCTGGCTTTGAGCTCACGAGTCCTCCTGAGGGCTGGGACATAACCACTTGCACTCGGTGCCACTGTAGAGCACTAGGCAGCTTTCAGGTCAGGTATGTTCACATATGGGTTCAGGCGGCGTGCATGCAAGGCCAGCTCTTGCCTGCATGTTGATAGTAAATATCTAGACAGTTAATATACCAACCTACTGACTTATTTGTATACAAAACATGGGAAGACAAAGATAAAGTGGCATTTACTGTTTTGGTCTTCTACTGAAGGGGAAAGCACCTGAATGTTTGAACCTAATCTCTGCTCTGAAACGCATTCATGTTTTTTTAAATCATTTTTGCTGCTCATGATAAGATTTCGCCTCTGTTGCGGTGAGTGTGTTCTCTCTTACTAGGACTCCAACTGTTAGTGCATGCTACAAGCCATCAAGTGGTTAAATTTTCAGGGATCATTTCAACACCCATCCATGAGTGTATCTGCTAATTATCCTGCATTTAAATTAATGCTGATTAGATGTATAAAGAGAGAGGTTGCTGAATACAGGAGGCATACAATTATTAAATTGCTAATGCAGTTCACTCTTTGGGGGAGAAATCCACAATTTCATGATGTAGTCGTGATCGATGTTAGCTCTGGTATAAGTGGTTTTATGCAGCAAAAGTGTGCACAAATAATGCTTTTGGAGGATCACCTTCACAAATTACCTGTTTCTTCATCACAGTCATTTGTGACAATCAGCCTTCAGTTGCTTGGGAGACCTGCAGCATCCAGACCTCTTGCTTGGGTAGCAGAACCCCAAATGTGCACTTTGAGGCTTACTCGGAGAGATAAAACCCAGATTTCTGAAAGATGTGCATACAGGTAGCCATATACTTCTCTGGCTTCACCTAAATGGAGCTGAATTTAGCATCACTACAAGGTAGCAGTTTTTCTTATGGATATATATTGGACTGTGACCGTTATTGTAAAGCACCTTACGCACAATGGTGCCTCACAGAGTTGCTGCTGATCTTTGGAAGAACCAGGTCCATTCACAGCCTTAATTTAAGGGTTATTGTAGTGCCCTGTGGGAGTGTTTTTAAAGGATACTCTACAGTATTCTGTACTGTCTTGTAAGTAAGATTTATTTGGGCCTTTTCATATCAGTCCTGTTTATTGTAGTTAGGCAAGAACCATGGCCTCACTCCTTAGCATGCTACTGAGTGGACAAAAGAGCAGCATGGCAGTATCTTGGGGGCAATTTGTGTAATTAAGCACAATGGTAACAATATATTCTACCAGGTGTCATACAATTGCTGCCAAAGGATTTGCACAATGATTTACACTGTCTAAGTCTTAAGTGAGAGCACGATGCATTCATGAGCCCCCGTAAAGCTGCCGCACTCCACGTACCATATATTTCTTTCCCCATGTCAATCAGGCTTTCCCCTGCACCCTGAAAAATTCCTCATACCTTATGCCCCTCCTTTTCCCAGCATATCTCTGTGGACATAAGCATGTCGGTGCTCAATTTGTGAAACTGCTAAAATAGATTAAATATAATCCATAGTGGCTTAGCAACAAATTCTTGTGATTTGCTGTCATCTTGTGGGAGTGATAGTCCATCAAGAGCAGTAGGCAGGAGTGGTTGGCGTGGCACAGAGACTTCACGCTTGCCTTTAAATGCAGGACTCGTATTGTTCCAGATCTCATCTC